ACCTTTCCATATAGGAAGCACATCAAGAATTTCCACATCTCCCTGCCTTAGCCTTTGCTGTTCTCCCTGCCTAGAATATCCTTCTGCCCTCACCTCTTACTACCACCCAGTTTTACCATCCTTTAAGGATTAGTGCAAACACCACCTCCTGTCCGATTTCCCTCCTTCCAGCAGAATTAAAAGCCATGTTCTGTGAACTTCCCCAGCACTTTGCTCATGTTTCTCTTGTTATAACGACCATGCATTGAACAGAAGTATATGGCAAGCATCGTTCTAGGTGCTTTCAATATGCCACTATGTAACTTGCACTGCGAACTTGTAAGAAATTACTACACACCCCATTTTACAAATGGGGAGACTGAAGCTCTGAGGGTTGAACTTACCAATGATCATACAACCAGAAAGGGATACAGCTGGGATTCCAACCATGCTCTGACAGCTCCCAAGTCCATCAGTTTTACTCTCTGCTATGCTGCCTCTCTTTGATGGCCCTATGTCCAGCTGGTTAGTTAATTATACACACATATGCCTATCCCTGGGATTACAGCAAATCCCGTGATGGCAGGGACCTGGGCATGTTCCTCTCTACAAATGTGGATGATAATGTATCCACTTATACAAGGTTGTTAGGAGAATTAAATGAGACAGTACATGTAAAGCACTTAGCATAGTGTCATGCACATTATAAGCTCCTAACAATTTGTCAGTTTTGTTGTTGTTACTGTTGTCATTATTACTATGTCTGACACCAGGGATAAAGTCTTGAGCATAAATTGTGAGCTGAAGTTTCTTTCAGAGAAGCAAATGAAGTGGCTGAGGCCCTGATGGAAGAGACAAATGCCACTTTGGTTCAGCATTTCCCCACACCGCTTGACTACTCGTTCAGAAGCAACAAGAGTTGCACAGAAACTCTCCAATATTTCTATGATACGGTCAATTGATTCCTTATCTTTCTGTTGCCATGTGGATGTTACGAAAACCTCCTCTCTAGTTCAAAACTCTTGCAGCTCTGTGACTTTCTTGCTGCCTTCTCCTATGAGATTTGTCAAGGTTCCCCTCTGAGAAGTCATACTTAAGGTCTGAGCCAAGAGAAGAAAATCACAAAAGTAACTGAAAGCACAGAGGGCAAAATGTAATCTGAAATTCTAATGCTTATACACATAACAAAACACTTTCCTTTGTCCTCATAGCATTTAACGGTACTTTAAATCATCCTATTGCTTTACTCATTTGTTTTTGTCAGTCACCCCCCAGTAGGAGGTAAGTTGTCTCAGAGAAAGCAATCTGTCCATCCTGTTCCCTGCTATCTCCCAGAGCCTAACTCATATCTGGTGTATAACAGTCATTCATTAAATACTGGTCAATTAACTGATTGCAATTATATATATATGTGTATATATGAATATGTATATAAATTTACACATATACATGACATCACTCCATAGTTTATGAATGTGCATTTATCTCCACACATAGGTGCATATTGTATATTTGTGTACATATATTTCTATTTGTGCAGAAGATATATTTTTTTTAAAGATTTTATTTATTTATTTGACAGAGAGAGACACAGCAAGAGCAGGAACACAAGCAGGGGGAGTGGGAGAGGGAGAAGCAGGCTTCCTGCAGAGCGGGGAGCCCGATGCGGGGCTCAATCCCAGGACCCTGGGATCATCACCTGAGCCGAAGGCAGACGCTTAACAACTGAGCCACCCAGGCGCCCCTGTGCAGAAGATATTTTAGACTGGAAAACACAGCCACCGGTTTGCAAAAGTTATGCCTTCTTAACATAATAAAGGCCTCTGGCTGACCTGTCTAATATTTTAAAAACATACACTATTGGGCACCTGGGTGGCTCAGTTGGTTAAGCGACTGCCTTCAGCTCAGGTCATGATCCTGGAGTCCCAGGATCCAGTCCCGCAGGGCTCCCTGCTCAGCAGGGAGTCTGCTTCTCCCTCTGACCCTCCCCCCCCTCATGCTCTGTCTCTCTCATTCTCTCTCTCTCAAATAAATAAATAAAATCTTTTAAAAATAAATAAATAAAAAGAAACTCTTAAAAAAAATACACTATTACCCACAAACTAAAAATCCACATTTAAAACAACAGATTTTATTATAGATGCAGAATACAAAAATTTTTTTGACTTAACAAAGCATGATACTTTTATCTTTTAAAACTCCTCATCCCTGGGGCGCCTGGGTGGCTCAGTTGTTGAGCATCTGCCTTCGGCTCGGGTCATGATCCCAGGGTCCTGGGATTGAGCCCCACATCTCTCTGCTCAGCGGGAAGCCTGCTTCTCCCTCTCCCACTCCCCCTGCTTGTGTTCCCTCTCTCGCTGTGTCTCTCTCTGTCAAATAAATGAATAAAATCTTAAAAAAAAAAAAAAAAGAACTCGCTCTCTTAAAAAAAAATAAATAAAAATAAATAAAACTCCTCATCCCTATTTATTAGGTTCAATGTAAAGAAGCTGGGGGGTGGGGGTAGTATATTGACCTGTAATGTTTCTCTGCAAATTTGGCAGGCAAAATGTTCCAAATTCTTATGGGCTGGCCAGAAGTCCTTATTTAAGTTGTAACATATACAGAAAATCATAATTCATGACAATTATAATAACACCATTGACTGGGTAAATGTGCCAAACACTTGGCATCATTTTTTTTATTTAAACCTATACCAACCCTGCAAGATAAATGTTATTATCCCTGTGAAAAGAGGAAAAAATGAAACAAGACAAAACCAGAGAGGGAGACAAACCATAAGAGACTCTTAATCTTAGGAAACAAACTGAGTATTGCTGGAGGGGAAAAGGGTGAAGGGATGGGACAACTGGGTGATGGACACTGGGGAGGGTATGTGTTGTAATGAGCACTGGGTATTATAAGACTGGGTAATGTAAGACTTATATAATACTGATGAAGCACAGACCTGCACCCCTGAAACAAATAATATATGTTAATTGAATTTAAATAAAATATATGGAAACTAAGACTCAAAGACATAGAGTGGATTGCCAAAGATACTCTGTTCCTTATCTATCTAGTCATGGCACACACAGCCTAGAAATTCTACTAGTCTAGAATTCTAGTCCAAAGCCCAAACTCTTTTCAACAAGCAATGGTGCATCTTACACACTTTTACAGACACTAACTTTGAGGGATATGTGTTTAGGCAGTTTTTTATACTGTGTGGATTTTAATTAGTAATTCTCTGCACATAGAGACTAGACCAAATGAAAGCCACACTGAAGATTACTCCAGGCTACAGACAGCAAGGGACAAATGTGTCTCAGAAATGATCAGTTTGTGTTTCTCAGAATATGAAGCATTTTCCACTTGATTATGTCCTGCAAAAGAAATTTATGCTCTAAAAGAGCTTCCTTATTCTTCTTCCTATACCAAAAATGGACTCTTTCACTGCAAATCAATGGGAAGTTCTTAACTCATTTCCTTATATTACTTAGGATAAAAGTGCTTTCTGTCTTTAGGGAAAAGAATTGCTGGATGCTATGCCGTTGGGGTGCTTTTGAGTCCAACAATCAATACTGTGAAGGCGAGAGAAAATTAGCCCTTACAGACTTTTAAGGGGTGTAGGGTTATTTTTAAACTTAATGATAGCTGAATTCTAAAGAAAAAGAGAGAAGGAAAGTCTTCCCTCCCAGTTCAAAGAATTCATCTGCCTTCCCCTGAAAGAATTGGCTATTATCTCTTTGACCTTCTTTCCAGGAGCAGGCCCGACCAAGGAGGAGAAGGAAACCATCTGTTTAAAAAGTTTTTTGTAATTCATAGATGTTTCTGAACATTTGTAACCAACAGTAGTGAAAATGTTTAAGTTGGCTCTCAGCTGCCCATCTATACTGCTTGCAAATATCCTAGGCAGAGCAAAGGAAAGCACTCCCCACTTAGACCACTACAGTCTCAGGAAGAGCCAACTGCAGCATCTTTGGCCCCAGGGACTGAAGGGGAAAGGGGCATCTGGCCCTCGTGGAGGCCCCTGTGTGTCCCCCTCAACATGCCCAGGGAAGTGAGGAAGGAAAATTACCTTCCCTCCCAATCTAACTACACAAACCCTGCTGCCAAGAACTTATTTTTAGACACTTAAGCTGAAATTCACAGAAAGGAAGGAAAATTACAACCTCTGAGCCCCAGCATTCTAATTTCCAACCTGGCTTGAGTTTTTTGTTTGTTTTCTGATTTCAAGTCTCTACCTAAAGCCCATCTCCCATCCTCCAGAAGCCCTCTACAGTCTAAGCCCCCCCCCCCAAAAAAAGCTGGGAGCTGTAGAGCTTTGTGTGATGAAAATTTCAGCTCCCACACTTCAAAGGGTCATGTCATGACCTCGGGGAAGTAACTCCTCCTTCTGAAGACCCAGTTTGTGGTTGGTAAGATGGGAATAATAATATCTGTTACTGGAAAAGTTGTTGAGTCTTCAATAAAAATCACACAGTACCCGGCTCTTAGTAGGTGATCAGTAAGTGCTTTGTGTTTTGTCATGGGCACACTGCACAAAGCAGAAGGATCCTGGATAGGTGTCCATGTTTTTCCCCGCCCAAGATTTGCTCATCACTCCCTCATTAGTGATTTATGTTACCAACCACTCACCTAACCTCAGGAAGATGCCTCTTACCTTCTTCTAGTTCTCTATAGCTTTAAACATCTGCAGAGCCCAAGAGATAAATTCTCATTAAGTGCAAAAGACAAAGTTCACCTGGATTCTCCTTCCCACCAGTTACCGACGAATCACTGACTATAACTTAGGCTGGGGAAGAAATGCTTACAGGCTTTATGTGGGCAAAGCAGGTGTCTGCACATGTCTTGGTGTAAGGGGTGGGGAAGGACCCCAGATAAAGTCTTCAGGTTTAGAAATGGCAAAGAAAGGAAGTAGGAGAAGAAGTACTGGATGAAAGAGATGCCTCTGCAAGGCCGTCCTAGCCAGTGACCCAGTCCTCGGCGCACGGGGAGTAAAGGACACGAGCTGGGAGGAGCCGCGAGGGGAGGAGTACCTGAAGACTCTCGCCGCCGTCTGGTTCCTTCTCCACGCCGTGCCCTGTTGCAGCACCCCTTGTACGATCTCCTTCTCGTTGGGCAGCCGGTAGACCGGGAAGATGTAGAGCCAACAGAGGACCACGACGCAAAGGGCACTGGCTCCCACCGGTAGCCGGGTCCGCGGGAACTTCCACGCTAGTACTGCCATGGCCCCTCTGGACGTGTGTCGTCGGGCCCGTCTACAGGGGCTCATCGCAGCCCCGGGGTCCCGGGGGCGGCCTCAGCACAGCGTCAGGCAAAGCGGCAGCGGAGGGTCCCCCCACCGCCGGCCCCCCATGCACACACACCTTTCGTTTTCTTGTTTGCACTCGCACGCACGTTTCTTCGGCCCCCACGGCCCCAAAGGTCAGCGCAAGGATTTTTTTAAATGCAACTTTTTCAAGGGTTTCTTTCTAGGGGAAGTGGCCGGGGGGCAAGTCACGAGCTCTGGTCATGGTCTCTTCCCCTGCAGAAGGCGGGCGCTGGGGTCTCCGAGAGCGCAGAGAGCGGCCGCGGTGAGTCGCTCCCGCCGGTTCTGCAGCATCACTGTCGCCCTCCGCGCGGGTCCGGGGAGAGGCTCGGCTCCCTCCCAGACAACTGGTCCGCGGCGTCCCCTTCTGAGAGATGCTCCTGCGCCCTTCGCCGCCTCTCCCCGCCTCCTGCGCTGCTGCACCGCCAAGCACCCCCCAGACGCGCTCTCCGCGACGCACCAAGTCCTTGGAAATTTCCACGGCAGCCCGGGACCGCTATCCTGCCCCGGGCTTCTCCGCCTTGCCCGCCAGGACCCTCGCTCCCCACCCCTCCCGAAGAAGAAAAGAACTCGCTCTCATCAGTTAATTCAGCGGCGCGCCGCAGCCTTCCGCTGCGCCCCGGACTTCGCAGACAAATGCCCGGGGATTGGTGGAAATCAAGGTCTCCCCCGCCCTCCCCCACCCGCAAATTTGCCTCCTTCGACCCGTTCAGATCCGCGACGCTCGCCTGGAGCGCGCGCCTCTCCTCCCGCTCTTGTTCTCTGGAGATAGAGGCAAACAATAAAAAATAACCTCCCACCCCCTATGTATGTATATATTTGAGTGTGGCAGAGACTGGCTGCTAACCTGACCCTTCCACACGCAGCCGGCACGCCGGGGCTGTCACCCTGCCGCCGTCACCCTCATCTCTCTATAACTGGCTGGTTTATTAACCCGCTGTGAGGCGCGAGGAGGCCGGCAGAGATTTATTCCTTCCTGGGCCCCCAGCCCCATTACCCGATCCTGGAGCCGCGGCTCCAGCCGACACTCGTGCGCGCCTGCGCGCACACACACACTCAGATACACTCCCAATGCTCACGGACCCGCACGCGCGCGCACGACGAGGTGCGTGCACACCGGGATCCTCAGCCTCGACTCCGCCCTGCATCGAAAGGCGCTGCTGCATCCAGATGTGCAGCCAGCTGGTGCCCAAGCTCGCAGACCTCGGGGACGATAATGCCTTGGCGGGGTGTTCACCTCCTCCGCCTTTTAGATTAAAGGGCCGTTTGTTCTTAGACCTCTTCTTCGCCCCACCCACAAGCTAATTGCAACCCCGACCCTGGAAAAGCGCCACCAGCCTGTATCCGCGGAGCCGAGGGACCCACAGTTAGCCATTTCTTTTCGCCCCGGCTGTCGACGCATAGCTCGGGTACCTCCTAGCGGTTGTCTAATCCATTTGCTTAAGCAGAAAGTGCAGGGACAAAGAAACCCAGCAGCCTACTAACCGGGTCAGCTTCGTCATCACGAAACCAAAATCCAGGGCCATAGCTCCATTTGCTCAGCTGACCAGGCTGCAGCGCCCCAGCGCAATCTCTGCTGACTGCTAAGAGGCCTGGTATCTTTCTCCAGCATCTTTCTCCACTGAGAGGTGAAACTTGAGAAGTTGCTGGAAAGTTATTTACCAAAAATGACCGAACGACCACCATAGTCTTAATACTCCAACACTACTAAGACCTCTTAGGAGAATGACCCACTGCCCTCCATGACCAGGTATGCCCCAGAAATCTCTCCTATTTAGGTAAATCAGTAGAGACAGGAAACTGTGAAATTCCAAAGTTATATCTTAACATAGTCGAGCCTAATAAAGATTGTTTGAAATGAAGATCACCTGAAGTCCTGCGAAGTAACCAACCCACCTTCTTCTGTTCTGGAAAGGCCAGGGATCTTTCCCATAGTTGCCAGAGCTATGGATAAATCACCTGTCATCCTTTTTCCTACAATATAAATAGAACACAAACCACCCCGTTTTCTCTCTTCTTCCCCAAGTAAAAGAGATACTTGCAGAGCAATAGCAAATAAACCAACAACCAAAAATAAGACACTGCAGTTCTGAAGGGGCTATATAAATGTACCCACATTTAACATCATAAAAATGCATCAAAGTTGTGTCTTACATCGAGAGACTTCTGAAATGCAATGTGCTACTTTTCCTTCTTCTGAAAACTAAGGTTCTCTTACCTTTGTTGGCTCTTGCCTCACCCTACAATCCAATCGCATTCCCTGCTTTTCCTTAGCACGAACACCAAATCTAGACAGGCCTTGCCCTCACCTTTCCAAGTCACACAGGCATCATTTTTGGCACTGTATTTTGGCACTTCTTCTTGCATGGGTTGTATTTTTCTTCTCCCTCCATACAAATTCAACACATCATTAAAGGCCAACCCAAGTGGCTAGATATTTCCCCCTCAATGTGTTCCCAAACCATCTAAAATACAGGCGTCATGGGATAGGAATTCAGTAAATGTTTGTGGTTTCTGCTCCTATTCCCTTTGACCTCCTGCTCTGAATGTCTATAGTATTTGCTGACTCCAACAAATAAGACACTCAGATGTGTTGGGTTGTTTTGCTAGCATTTTTCATATGTAACTTTGTCAAAGCAACTGGGCAGTAACAGTATGTGGTCTTGTATATCAAATGGCAAGCCCAAACTTGATCCAAATAACTTTTAGTAGGTAACTTAGGTATTATTTTCTATGTCTGCATCTGAGTACACAATAGAATTTGCACAGGAACTAAACAACTTTTAAAATTCTATAAATGTTTGTTTACTGAACCAGTAAACATGATGTGCAAAGCTATTTTATGCCATATGTAAACTTGATGGGGGGCACTTTTGTGACATCAGCATTGTAGTGGAAGCCAGTATAAGGGACAAAACCACCACAGAACTGAAGCCATGGAGAAAAGAGGAAAAAGAGAAACTCCCATTGAGAAGTCAAGAGAGACCAAGATGTGGAAAGATGATCAGAGTAAATGGGACACAATTTACAAGCCAGCTTGGATGCTAATGGGTATGAAGACAAATACTAATAGTCACATAGAAATCTCTCACTAAAAGATTAAATAAGGGGCCCCTGGGTGGCTCAGTCGGTTGAGCGTCTGCCTTCGGCTCAGCTCATGATTCCAGGGTCCTGGGATCGAGCCCCACATCGGGCTCTCTGCTCAGCGGGGAGCCTGCTTCTCCCTCTCCCTCTGCCTGCCTCTCCACCTGCTTGAGCTCTCTCTCTCTCTGTGTCAAATAAATAAAATCTTTAAAAAATATATTAAATAAAATTGTCAATGATTTGAGGTAAAAAAAAATTAAATGGCATCCTTTCTTCAGTCTCCTCTCATTATTTCATCAAAATGGCTTGGAATGGAGAGACAAAAGCATAAAAATATGGCTTTTCAAAGCCAGTTACAACACCAAAGCAAATAGGGTTGTGGAATGAAAAGAACCATAAATATAGGGTTTTTTAAAAGACTTTATTTATTTATTTGAGAGAGAGAGAGAGAGGAAGCATGAGCAGGGGAGGGGCAGAGGGAGAGAGATAAGCAGACTCCCAGCAAAGTGCAGAGCCCCAAGCAGGGATTGATCCCAGGACCCAGGCATCATGACCTGAGCCAAAGTTAGACACTGAACTGGATGAGCCACCCAGGCGCCCCCTAAAAGAGCTATAAATATAGTTTATCTGAATAAATGCATTTGCTTATTTCTACTCCCTCTTGTGATTCCACTAAAAGGAAAATAAAGGAATAAAAGAGGCATAAACTCAAAAGGACAAAAGCAAAGAAAGAGATACAAAAGCAGACAAATGATGTCAAAACATTTACACTCAGGTAAGCAACTGAACAAGTGATAACTGGTTTATCAGAATGTAGAAAGCTCTGAGCCTTCAAGTGATGGGGTGTGTGTGTGTGTGTGTGTGTGTGTGTGTTGGCACAGAGTGGGGGAGTATAGACAGAAGTCAAAAGAATCAAGCTAATTTGCACTACAGTAATTTTGAAAGACTCAGAAATTAGAGGCACTCCTGGAGGTGGAAGTGATAGATGAAACCAAATAAGAGTTTGTTGAAAGTCTTTAAAAGGAGCAGTGAAGCCTCTAGATCTTATCCTCCAAATTGGCTTAGAACACAAGGTTACCTCTCTAGAGAAATTTCACAGCACTAGTAAGAAGACCTACAGATTCTGATATGTGCAGCTCTCCAATCAGACAGCAATATCCCTGACCAACACCATATGGGGAAGCCCACCACTAGGAAAGCTCTATTCACAGAGTTTCTATCCTCTTTTTTGAGCTTCATTCTCAGATATGAGTAGAGAGCCAGGATCCCCAGACATTTGAAGGGACTCTCCAACATGAACACAGAGACAAAATAAACAAGAAACACACGCAAAAAAACCCAGAAGGGGGAAAGATAATGCAGAAAACAAAAGGAATCTTCAATAAAAGCTGTAATTAATACTTTCACAGAAATAAGAGACAATCCATGAAGCAAGAACAAAAGGAATATTCAGATAACCAAAAATAAAGTCCTTTAAAATTAAAAATACGGTAAACACACAAATACACAATTCATAGAGGAGCTGAAATACAAAATTGAGGAAGTATCCCAGAAAGTAGGCTCTAATAAGATAAAAGAGGGTTCTTTTCAAGGTAATAAATTATAGACTCAAACAGAAAAATTAACATCCAATTAATAGGAATCCAATAGGGGAAGAAAACAGAAAGGGGAAAATTTTCACAGTCATACTAAAAAAAAAAAAAAAAAATCCCAAAATTAAAGAGTCCATTAAGGACTCAGTAAAATTAATTAAAAAGGCCATTACCAAAATATATAACAGTGAAATTTTAGAAAAAAAAAATTGTGAAAGATTTTTTTAAAAACACATACATACAAAGAAGTAGAAATAATAATGATGTTAGACTCATCAAAAGCAACACTGGAAATGAGAGGAAAATGAGGTTAGGCCATCAAAATTTTTAGTGAAAATTTTTCCCAAACCAGAATTCTACACCCAGCTCAAGTATGACTCAAATGTGAAGGTAAAATAAAGACTTTTTAAAAATTTTTTTAATATATTTTTTATTTATTTAAATTCAATTAGCCAACATATAGTGCATCATTAGTTTTTGATGTAGTGTTCAATGATTCATCAGTTGCGTAAACACCCAGGGCTCATCACATCACGCACGCTCCTTAATTCCATCACCCAGTTACCCCATTCCCCCACCGCTCTCCCTCCAGCAACCCTCAGTTTCCTATGATTAATAAGAGTCTCTCATGGTTTGTCTTCCTCTCTGATTTCTTCCCATTCAGTTTTCCCTCCCTTCCTCTGATCCTCTGCACTATTTCTTCTGTTCCACATATGAGTGAAACCATATGATAATTGTAAAGACATTTTTTAAATGCAAAGTCTGAAGAACTTCACTCCCATGCAACGGGAAGATACTGGAGATACTCCACTCAAATAATAGGTTTACCAAAAAGAGGGAGTAGGGATCCAGAATTCCATGG